GCGAAGGACGCTGACTCATCTGCTGGTGGCAAGGGGCGAGACGACAAGGCGGCGTCGTGCTCGCTGGTCGGCGTCGTGGAGCTGACCGTCTCGCTGGCGCCGGAGGCCGGCGAGGACTTCCAGGCGGTGGCGGCGGCTTTGCAGGCGAACCCGGCGGTGGTCCTGCTCGACAGCGGCTGCTCGCACCACCTGATGGGGACGAAGGAGGCCTTCGTCGACTTGGAGCCGAGCTGCGACGTGAAGCACGTGCGCAGCTTCAACGGGGCGTTGCAGGACGTCCAGGGCCGCGGCACTGTCGCTCTGCAAGGGGAGGCCGGGAAGCGGGTGCTCATCCCTGACGTGCTGTACGTCCCAGGCGTCCAGGCAAACCTGCTTTCGGCCGGCCAGCTGAAGGAGACCGGTGTGAAGCTGCAGGAGGACGGCGACGGGATGTTGCTCGTCTCGGCGGCGGGAGAGGTGATCGGTCGGGCGACGTACACCGGGCGTGTCCTCTGCACCGACCTGCGCCCCTGCTCGGCCAAGCAGACAACGCCCACCAAGGAGGTGGTAGCCCTGCGGGCGATCGTTTCAGCAACGAAGTCGACGCCGGACAGGCTGGATGCGAGGCTTGCACACGTCGGCATGGACACCATTCGGAGCTCGGCGAAGCACAAGGTCGCCACTGGGCTGGACCTCAATTCGGCATCGGGCGCCGACTCCCCGTGTGTCTCATGCGTCGGCGGGAAGCTGACACGACACACCTTCCCCGACCAAGGCTCTGTGCGGGCCATTCCGCGTGGCTGCTAAAGACGGCAGCCTGTACTTCTTGCTGCTGAAGGACCGCAAGACCCGCTACGTGTGGGTGAGGCCGGTCGCCAAAAAGTCGGATGCGTTGAAGGAGTTCGTGCAGTGGCTGGCGGTGGCTGAGCGGCAGACGAAGAAGTCGGTGTTGATGCTGCGCTCTGACCGGGGAGGGGAATTCCTCGGGAACCAGTTCACCGACTTCGTGAACGGCAAGGGGATCGTCCACGACCTGACCTGCCCGTACACCCCGCAGCAGAACGGCATGGCCGAGAGGGAGATGCGGACTGTGGTGGAGTCGGTGCGAACGATGCTGCTGCACATGGGCGTGCACCACTGGTGGCACCTTGCTCTGCGGCAGGCCGTCTGGGTTAGCAACTGCCTTGAGAGGTCGACGTTGCTGCCGGGGACGACGCCGTACCAGCTGCTCACCGGGAAGAAGCCCGACTTGTCACTGGCACGCGTGTGGGGCTGCATGGCGCAGTTCCTTGTCCCCGAGCAGCAGCGTGGTGGGAAGCTGAAGCCGAAGGCTCGGTGGGGTCTTCATCTCGGCGTGTCAGAGGAGAGCAAGGGCTGGGAGCTCCTCGACATCGTCAACAACCGGGTGGTCACCACGTCGGACGTAGTATTCTACAAGCACATGTCGTTGGAGGTGTGGAAGTCGGAGCACGGGCCGGCGTCGGGACGGACGCCGACCACCCCGCCGACGGACACCTCGGCGGCGACGCTGCCTTTGCTCGCCGAGGTCGGTGAGTTTGCTGATGAGGACGCCGAGGTCGTCCGTCCTTCTTCCCCTCCCCCTACACCCCCTGCCCCTCCCCTAGTGGCCGACCTGCGTGGGCTGACTCCGGTGTCGGCCTCCGGCGATGAGGGGAGAAGTGGGGCGTCTCCTGTGGCGCCGACCAAGAGCATCGCCGGCGGCCGACGTGACGCCAAGCAAGTCGGCGTGGGAGTCAAGTCAACGCCGACAAGGGATCAGCGGGCAGAGGAGGTGCAGCCGACCCTGGTGAAGCCGGCGAAGGAGACACCAGCAAGGCAGCAGCCGACAGGGCAGCAGCCGACAGGGGAGCAGGCAGCAGCGACGCCGACCAAGGAGCAGTCGGCGACCGGGCAGTCGGCAGGGGAGCCGACCGCAGGGGAGAAGTCGGCTGGGACGCCGACTGAGTTGCAGCAGGACGCTGAGGACAGCGACACCGGTGACGATGGAGGGGACGCCGAGGAGGTTCAGCTGGGACCACGGCATACAGGCCGACTTCGGAGGCCGCTTGACTTCTTCGTCCCCGCTGCCTTCACCACGGCGTACGATGTGGACGACGATGATGAACTGCTGTACGACGACGCCGAGGAGGATGAGGAGTTTCCGGAGCTCGACCCCGACATGCACGCCGACCCCGAGCACCGCTGGGACATCTCCACGATGACGGTGAAGGAGGCGTTGGCGAGCTGGAAGGGCGCGGCGGTGAAGGCCGCCATGGAGGAGGAGATCTGCAGCCTCATCGGCATGGGGACGTGGGAGCTGGTCGAACGCCCGCCGGGAGTGAACATCATGAAAAACCGGTGGGTGCTGACGACGAAGTACCACATCGACGACACCGTCGAGCGTGAGAAGGCGAGGTTGGTTGTGAAGGGCTTCACCCAGGTGTATGGTGCCGACTATGATGAGACGTTCGCGCCGGTGGGCAGCTACGTCACGCCGAGGATCTTCCTCAGCATCGTCGCCGGTGGGCAGCTACGTCACGCTGAGGATCTTCCTCAGCATCGTCGCCGTCCTCAACCTCAACTTGATGCAGCTCGACATGAAGAACGCCTTCCTGCAGAGCAAGCTTGACCGGGTGCTGTACATGTCCCAGCCGGACTACTTCAACGACGGAACCGGCCGGGTGTGCAAGCTGCTGAAGAGCCTGTACGGGCGGAAGCAGTCGCCGCTACTGTGGTACTTGGCGCTCAACGACGTGCTGGTCGGCGCCGGGTGAAAAAAAGCCAGGTCGACGAGGCTCTGTACTTCAAGGTCGGCGACGACGGAGTGGCCTGCTGGATGCTGGTCTACGTCGACGACCTGCTCGCCGCCAGCAGCAGCCCCGCGTTGCTGAAGGAGCTGAAGGAGCTGCTGGAGGCCGCCTTCGAGCTGCGGGAGATCTCGCCGGTGCAGAAGTACCTCGGGCTGGAGATCGTGCGCGACAGGCCAGCGAGGAAGCTGTGGCTGCACCAGCAGGGCTACGCCGACAAGCTGCGCAGGCGGTTCATCGACGAGGAACGGACCGGGCGCACTCCAAAGACGCCGGTCTCGGTCGACGCCTACGCCGAGCTCACCTTCGACGACGAGGAGGCACAGGAGCGCCAGGAGGAGGAGTACCGGCAGAAGGTCGGCTTGCTGCAGTTCGCGGCGACGACGACGAGGCCGGACATCGCCTTCGCTTGCAGCAAGCTGGGAAGCAGCCTCACGGTGAGGAGCGACCAGCACTGGCGGGAGGTCGACCGCTGCCTCGCCTACCTCGCCAACACACGTGACACCGCCCTGGATTTCGGCGGTGGACCTGAGTCGCGGAATCTGGTCGGCTACGTAGACGCCGACGACGCCGGCGACAAGCAAAATCGGACGAGCACGGGTGGCTACGTGTTCGTCTACGGAGGGGCCGCGGTCTCCTGGTCGAGCCAGCGCATCAAGTGCGCGACGTTGTCATCGACCGAGTCGGAGTACGTGGCGGCCACTGAAGCCGGCAAGGAAGGACGCCGCCTTCGCTTTCTCATTGCAGAGTTCCGGCAGCTGGACGCCGGGACGCCGACCGTCCTTCGCGTGGACAACAAGACGGCTATCACGGTCGCCGAGGGCATGGGGTTGACGGGCAACCTCAAGCGCATGGAACGGCGACAAGCCTGTCTGCAGCACATGGTGAAGCGCAGGAAATTCACGCTGAAGTACATCCCAACCACCGAGCAGCCGGCCGACTTCCTGACGAAGGCGCTGCACTACCCGGCCTTCAACCGGTGCTCCGTCACAATCGGCCAAGTGCGCCTGGCCGACCTGGCGACGGTGACAACGATGTGCAGCAGTAGGTGCCATGCCCTCTTGCATGGCTGGTGCGGTGACCGGCGTGCTGTGTGTTGTGTGCACGCCGACGGGCTATTCTCCGAGTGGTACTGCCGTGTGGGCTGGGGGCCCAAGCGTGAACGCGGCAGGGGAGTGTCAACGGGAGTTGTGGTTGCCCCCGTCCGCGCTTGGGCGGAGCCGACTTCGTAGTCGGGTGTGTGGGGAGCGCAGCCAATCTATTGCAGTGAGGGCGCTTAGCTGGAGGGCGCCGAGCAGGAGGACGCCGACTTGGGCGCCTGGACGGCGTCCTGGGAGGCTGGACGCCGACCTGGGCGCCTGGACGGCGTCCTGGGAGGCTGGACGCCGACCTAGGCGCCTGGACGGCGTCCTGGGAGGCTGGACGCCGACCTGGGCGCCTGGACGGCGTCCTGGGCGCCTGGACGCCGACCTGGGGCGTCTGGACGGCGCCCTGGATGCCTGGACGCCGACCTGGGCGTCTGGACGCCGACCTGGGTGCTGGGACACCTCTTCTAGGGACGCCGGTCAGGTGTAGCCGGCGACCAACTGAGCTGGGCGACCAGGCGTGGTTGCCCGGTCAACCTGGATACCCGGGCGACGTGTGCGAAGGTCGCCGGGGAGGCTTCTGCGAGGCCGACCTCGGAAGTGGTATCCCGAGGTAGACGTGGCTGGTAGGCGCAGTCGCTGGCGTGGACTCGACCTGGACGTCTGCGGTGTGCGCGTGACAAGGAGCGGTGCACCAACCAGCTGCACGCACCTGCGAAGCAGGTGCACCGTTGTCCTGCGGGTGCAACGCTGTGCAGCCGACTTGCTGCAGCGTTGGCACACCATGTACTTGCAACGTTGGCAAACTGCTACTCTGCAACGCTGGAGCGATGCGAGCGCTGCTGCGCTGGAGCGCGGTCGACCATGCTGCGCTGGAGGTCGACCAGCAGCCTAGCTAGCTCTGATGTAGTCTGTTTTGCCAATGTTGTATCAACCTTTGTTGTGAACTTTTGCTAGTGGAACTCTTGCCTAATTCCCCCGTGAACCAGCAAGTAGTGCAAGCACAAGCAAACGACTAAGTGAACGAACGTAGAGATCACACGAGCACCCGTGCCTAGCCCGTAGTCTAGCTACCGTTGTAGTAGTTATCTCCGCATAATGAGATGAGAGTAGGGAGAAGGGTGATGAGATGAGGGAGAAGGGTGATGAGAGTAGGGAGAAGGGTGATGAGAGTAGGGAGAAGGGTGATGAGAGTAGGGAGAAGGGTGATGCGAGTAGGGAGAAGGGTGATGAGAGTAGGGAGAAGGGTGATGAGAGTAGGGAGAAGGGTGATGAGAGTAGGGAGAAGGGTGATGAGATGAGGGAGACGGGTGATGAGAGTAAGGAGAAGGGTGAGGAGTGTAGGGAGAAGGGTGATGAGAGTAGGGAGAAGGGAGATGAGAGTAGGGAGAAGGGTGATGAGAGTAGGGAGAAGGGTGATGAGATTAGGGAGAAGGGTGATGAGAGTAGGGAGAAGGGAGATGAGAGTATGGAGAAGGGTGATGAGAGTAGGGAGAAGGGTGATGAGAGGAGGGAGAAGGGTGATGAGAGTAGGGAGAAGGGTGATGAGAGTAGGGAGAAAGGTGATGAGAGTAGGGAGAAGGGTTATGAGAGTAAGGAGAAGGAAGATGAGAGTAGGGAGAAGGGTGATGAGAGTAGGGAGAAGGGTGATGAGAGGAGGGAGAAGGGTGATGAGAGTAGGGAGAAGGGTGATGAGAGTAGGGAGAAGGGTGACAAGAGTAGAGAGAAGGGAGAAGGGTGATGAGAGTAGGGAGAAGGGAGATTAGAGTTGGGAGAAAGGTGATGAGAGTAGGGAGAAGGGTGATGAGAGTAGGGAGAAGGGTGATGAGATGAGAGTAGGGAGAAGGGTGATGAGAGTAGGGAGAAGGGAGATGAGAGTAAGGAGAAGGGTGATGAGAGTAGGGAGAAGGGTGATGAGAGGAGGGAGAAGGGTGATGAGAGTAGGGAGAAGGGTGATGAGAGTAGGGAGAAAGGTGATGAGAGTAGGGAGAAGGGTTATGAGAGTAAGGAGAAGGAAGATGAGAGTAGGGAGAAGGGTGATGAGAGTAGGGAGAAGGGTGATGAGAGGAGGGAGAAGGGTGATGAGAGTAGGGAGAAGGGTGATGAGAGTAGGGAGAAGGGTGACAAGAGTAGAGAGAAGGGAGAAGGGTGATGAGAGTAGGGAGAAGGGAGATTAGAGTTGGGAGAAAGGTGATGAGAGTAGGGAGAAGGGTGATGAGAGTAGGGAGAAGGGTGATGAGATGAGAGTAGGGAGAAGGGTGATGAGATGAGGGAGAAGGGTGATGAGAGTAGGGAGAAGGGTGATGAGAGTAGGAAGAAGCGTGATCAGAGTAGGGAGAAGGGTGATGAGAGTAGGGAGAAGGGTGGTGAGAGTAGGGAAAAGGGTGATGAGAGTAGGGAGAAGGGTGGTAAGAGTAGGGAGAAGGGTGATGAGAGTAGCTCTGAAGTCGCTCTGGAAGGTGTATTTGAACATGGGCCACCCGAATATGCAACAAAATTCGGGTCGTTGGATGCTTTTCTTTACGCTTATAGGTGTCCATACGCTTCCTTAGCCTTTGTGTGCAGGCACGGCCGTCATCGCGTGCGCCGAACTTCTCTGTGCGCGCGAACCAATTTGAAGTTGCTCTGAAAAGGTGTATTTGAACATGGGCCATCCAAATATGCAACAATATTCGGGTCGTTCGATGCTTTTCCCTACGCTTATAGGGATCAATGCGCTTCCTTAGCATTTGTGGGCAGGCACGGCCGTCATCGGGGCGCTGAACTTTTCTGTGCGTGCGAACCAAGCTGAAGTTGCTCTGGAAGGTGTATTTGAACATGTGCCACCCAAATATGCAACAATATTCGGGTCGTTGGATGCTTTTCCCTACCCTTATGGGGATCAATGCGCTTCCTTAGCATTTGTGGGCAGGCACGGCCGTCAACGCTGGCGCCGAACTTTTCTGTGCGTGCGAACCAATCTGAAGTTGCTCTGGTAGGTGTATTCGAACATGGGCCACCCGAATATGCAACAATATTCGGGTCGTTGAATGCTCTTCCCTACGCCTATAGGGATCCATGCGCTTCCTTAGCATTTGTGGGCAGGCACAGCCGTCATCGCTGGCGCCGAACTTTTCTGTGCGCGCGAACCAAGCTGAAGTTGCTCTGGAAGGTGTATTTGAATATGGGCCACCCGAATATGCAACAATATCTGGGTTGTTGGATGCTTTTCCCTACGCTTCTAGGGATCAATGCGCTTCTTTAGCATTTGTGGGCAGGCACGGCCGTCATCGCTGGCGCCGAACTTTTGTGTGCGTGCGAACCAATCTGAAGTTGCTCTGGTAGGTGTATTTGAACATGGGCCACTCGAATATGCAACAATATTCGGGTCGTTTGATGCTTTTCCCTACGCCTATAGGGATCCATGCGCTTCCTTAGCATTTGTCGGCAGGCACGGCCATCATCGCTGGCGCCGAACTTTTGTGTGCGTGCGAACCAATCTGAACTTGCTCTGGTAGGTGTATTTGAACATGGGCCACCCGAATATGCAACAATATTCAGGTCGTTTGATGCTTCTCCCTACGCCTATAGGGATCCTTGCGCTTCCTTAGCATTTGTCGGCAGGCACGGCCGTCATCGCTGACGCCCAACTTTTCTGTGCGCGCGAACCAATCTGAAGTTGCTCTGGAAGGTGTATTTGAATATGGGCCACCCAAATATGCAACAATATTTGGGTCGTTCGATGCTTTTCCCTATCCTTAAAGGGATCCATGCGCTTCCTTAGCATTTGTGGGCAGGCATGGCCGTCATCGCGGGCGCCCGAACTTTTTTGTGCGCGCGAACCAATTTGAAGTTGCTCTGGAAGGTGTATTTGAACATGGGCCACCCGAATATGCAACAATATTCGGGTCGTTGGTGTCAGAACTATGCATTTATATGCTCTAGGCTGTAGTGGGGCACTATTTATGGGGTACAGCCCAATTAGGTTTTGCTATACAAACCCTGTACTGCTGTCATTCTAATCATTCATTTCCTAGTTTCTGACATGGTTTCAGAGCAGGTTCCCTAGTGGGAACGTTTTTTTTTAGGGCCCACCACGATATTTTTTCCTGCCCTGCCCGAAGCGCGCCTCGAGCCTGCCTCACCTGCGCCGTCGCGCGCCCTGCCTTACTGCCGCCAGTAGCGGCCCTGCCCTCCCGGCCCGTCGCGGCCCTGCCCTAACGGCCCGTCGCGGCCCTGACCTAGCCGCCTGTCGCGGCCCTGCCCTGTCGCCGCCCGTCGCGGCCTGACCTAGCCGCCCGTCGTGGCCTGACCTAGCCGCCCGTCGCGGCCCTGCCCTGCCGCCCCCCGTTGCGGCCCTGACCTCGCCGCCCGTCGCGGCCCTGCCCTGCCGCCACCCGTCGCGGCCCTGCCCTCAGCCGCTCGTCGCGGCCCTGCTCTACCGCCGCCCCGTCGCGGCCCTGCCATGCAGCCACCTTGTCGCGGCCCTGCCCTGCTGCCACCCCGTCGCGGTCCTGCGCTGCCGCCGCCTCGTCGCGGCCCTGCCCTACAGCCGCCCCGTTGCGGCCCTGACCTAACTGCCCTGCACCCGCCCCTGGTAAGCGCCCGCCCTGCTAAGCGAGCCGCCGTGCCCGCCTGCCTGCTGGACCGCGCCGCCCTGCCCTACTGCGCTGCGCTGCCCTCCCCGCGCTCCTCCTGCTGCTACTGCTACTACTGCTGCTACTGCCGCCATGGCTAGCCCTACTGTTCTTACCTTCGATGCTGAGGGTCGTGCGGTCGATTTCGACATTTGGGTAGATGACCTACAGCTCTATCTTCAGTGCGACTCTAGGGACAGAGTTTCGCTTTTCGATCACACGTCCGGCGCCTCTGTTGCACCTGCTGCCACTGCTGACAGTACGGTTCGCTCGCAGTGGACTACTCGTGACGCTGTTGCTCGCCTTGCTGTTCGTGGTCACCTGCCGTCTGCTGAGCGCGCGCACTTTGGCCAGTACAAGACTGCTAAGTCTTTGTATGACGCTGTTGTCGCGCGCTACTCCTCCCCTGCCACTGCTGCCCTCAGCCGCCTCATGCTGCCGTACTTGTTCCCTGACCTGGCTGCCTTTGCAACAGTCGCTGACCTCATCACTCACCTCCGCACTAGTGACACCCGCTACCGCGCTGCGCTTCCCTCCGAGTTTCGCGCCAAGAACCCCCCCCCATGTACACCACCCTCTTCTGCCTCGTCACCCGTCTCCCTGACTCTCTTCGCTCAGTCAGGGACCACTTTCTCTCCCTTTGCCCCACCGAGCTCACCGTCGACCTGCTCGAGGAGCGCCTCACTGCAGCTGAGACTAGCATAGTCGCTGTAGGAGCTTCTCGCGGGGACCCTCGCGCCCCTTTCTTTGAGGGGTGTTCCTTCGTTCCCCTTTTGCCCTCTGTTGCTTCTGCTGCTGCTATCGACCTCGTTGGCACTGAGGAGGTCGGGGCTGCGTCTGCTCCTCGTGGGAGGCGCCGCAGCGGCAAGGGCAAGGGGGGCAAGGGTGGTGGAGGGGATGGCGGGGGCGGCGGTGGTGGCGGTGGAGGAGGCGGAGGGGGTGGGGGTGGAGGAGGGGGTGGTGGCGGGAGTGGGGGCGTCGGTGGCGGCGGTGGAGGTGGTGGAGGCAGCGGCAGCGGCAGTGGGGGTGGCGGCGGCGGTGGTGTTGGTCGGGGTGGAGCCGCGCAGCGTGGAGGCTTTGGCGGTAGCCAGCGACAGCAGCAGCCGCGTTCCCGTGAGGCCCCGTTGCCCCAGCAGCTTCGTGAGTGGTACGCTGGGCGTGGGAGGTTTGGGGGTGCTGGTCCCTGCACTTACGTTCTCCGCACCGGCGAGCGCCATGGGGAGACGTGCGGGCTGCCACACACAACACAGCGCTGTTTCGGTTGCCTGTCTAACGCCTGGCGTGCACGGTTTCCTGACGCCATTGAGCTCCCTCGCTGGGCTGATCTGCTTAAGTCTGGTGTTGCTATCTTTGATCTTGATTTCGATGCTATCCTTGCTGCCATGTATGCTGTGACTATTAGTGCTGAGGGTGACTGTTACCTGTGTGTTCCGCCCAACCCGGGCATTGAGGCTGCTGCTCTAGCTGCTAGTGAGTCTGCTGCTCCAGGTGCTAGTTGTTGTGCCAACACATTACAGTGGCACGGTCATCGCACTCCCATTCGGCCTACAAGCCTGCTCAGCTTCTGGAATTTTGTGGGGAGGTTGTTCAACACGTTTTCTTCAAACCCTCAAAGTTTCAGAGTTTTTGAAGCAGTTACCAAGGCATGACAACATTTTATGTTTCAAGACTTATGGCATCCCGGAAGTGTGTGTTACTCCTTTTTGGTAACACCCGAGTTCACCATTTCGGCTGCTGACTCGTCTACCGAGATCTGATTGGTCTGAAATTCGGTCTGGCAGTCCTTTGCCCTGCTGTGCAAGTGGTCACCAAGTTTCAGAACGATCCAACATCTGAGCATTGCGTGACAGCTGCCGAAATTCACTGTTCCGTAGTCATGGTGCACTGTTGGCAGCATTTCCCTTGCCACCCTTTCATTGTTGTCATGCCAATGGTGCAGGGACAGAGAATGAGACAAGAAGTACAGGTGGTCAAGTGGGACTCTACAACCCTCCTTTTGAGAAGTGTGGTCTTCCTGGAAGCAACTTGCAAGAGGGTGCAAGTGGGAAGACAAGCTGACTCATGTTGGCTTGACTCACTATTGGTAGCCTTGAGTACAGCTCTGAACATCCAAGTGTGGTTGGCTTTGCTGACCTAGCTAGGACGTTTCCCATTCTTCTCTAGCCTTTCTCCCCTAGGACTCAACCTTCTCTGAGTTCCCAGGATGACCCAACCCCTTATGAGTCCCCTAGGCAATGTTGTACTCACCTCTTCCTTGCATCAATGAGAATACACGTTTTTTCAGCCGAGCTTACATTTCGTTCACTGCGTAGTGCACACACCTCTGATAATAGCAAGTAATATACCGTTGGAAAGCAGACACCTAAGGCTAACCGCTGTCCAAGTTTCAGCCTCGTATGTTCTCGGAGCTGATCGTGACGGCGTTTTGAACAGAGGCGGTTTGAAGACGTCAGATTCTGCTTAGGCGGTTTCATGGGCATCCGCGACCCCTAAGTGGACTGCAGACTATAACAAGTGGTATCAGAGCTGTTCTACTCTGTTCGTGGGTGAAAATGGAGGCTGAAGGTTCTGCTCCAGCTGGTCCCAGTGGCAGTGGTGGCGTGAGAGGCGCTGGGGAAGCGGGAAGAGGCGTTGCAGGCGGATCTGCGCCAATGGCTTCAGTTTCAACATCAGCTAAGGATGATGTGAAGGCATTCAACCTGGAGAAGTTCTCTGGGGATGATTGGGCATCATGGAGCTTCAGGATGGAGCTCCTCTTCAACCATTATGGGCTGCTTGAAGTGATGGATGGAGAATTCAAGAGGCCTACGAGCGAAGGAGCGACCAAAGAATGGGATCGCCGGTCCAAGGATGGATTCTTCCTTCTCTCCCAATGCCTCTCATCCAACCAGCTGCACCACATCAAGCATCTCATCAAGGAAGCTGAGTGTGGTCCTAAGGCATGGAGGATATTGAAGGATGTCCATGCCCCCAGCAGCGAAGCAATGGTGGTGGTGCTCGAGCGACAACTCCATGCGGTGAAGATCAACGAGGGTGATGCCGTACAAGGAGCGTTCGATCAACTCCGGGACCTCTATGTGAAGCTCTCAGCTGCTGGTGTGGACTACCCTGAGAAAATCAAGTGCTACAAGGCTCTCTCCCTGCTGCCGGAGTCGTGGGGGCCCTTGGTGGTCAACCTTAATGGGATGAAGGACTCGTGGTCCCTTGAGTGGATTCGCGCACAAGTTCTTCAAGAGGAGTTTCGGAGGAAGGAGCTGACCGCCGCTGCCGGTGAAGGTGGAGGCTCTGCCTATGGCATGAAGGGCTTCAAGGGGCGTGGCAGCAAGAAAGGGAAGGCCAAGGAAGGCT